AAATGCAAGTAAGCTGATGAGCTGTCGTCAAAGCTCCTAATACTAGGAGGCAAAGTAGCATGTTTATCTTTAGCCCTCGATGCTGATTGGCCATAGAACTTGCTGGATAAAACTGGTGAGATATGTTGAGCTAATTTGCAAGTGGTATCAGACAAACCAGAAAGGCATTCGAGTAGAAGGTCTGCTTAACGAGTTTTGAAATTGGTGCTCTCCACTTCAGCCATTATTATTTCCTTCAAGGGCAACCATTTTCATCCCCAGATCAGAATGCATTTGAGGAATATGATTTGAGCTAGAAAGCACTGGGATAAACAAAATTGGACCATTACAGGTGTCCGGTTTCTAATTTTCAGGTCGATCACAAGAAACTGAAGAAAGTACTTGGACAGCGGTTGCTTGGTAAATTCAACAAGAAAACTTGGCGGAGAATTTCTGCTGCTATTCTGTATTTGGAATACTTCTACAATTGTTATGCTTGAGAAAGCAAAGCTCTTGCTAAAGTAAACATCGCCAGGGGTGATAACACATTTCCAGGAATACTTCTACACGTGTGCGGGAGTGACCGGGCATGCAACCCACTAGCGGTGTAGCCGAATACTTGGGTTTGTCTAGAAAATGTTGTCTCAAAGAATGCAAATGAAGCTATTTTAAGAATTAGGATTCCCATTAAAGGGACTTGGTAAATGAACAAATTTGTAAGCAAGGATTAACCGAAATTAACGGACTAGTGTAAGGTGTTTTTACCAAGCAATCATTAAATTGTAACAAATGCAATCTTCTAATTTGTATTTTTAGCATATTGTGTTTCTTTATGAGATTAATGATTTCTTATACATGTTTCAAAAATGAAACTGTTGGGCACTTTGTTAATGTTTGCTTTTCAAAATAAAATAAATCTCAAAAAATTGTTTGGCTCTTTTTAGAAATTATTAAGTGGTAGAGTTAAATGTATTAACAAAATTTACAGAAACACTGGTCGCGGAATTAGTTCAATTCTTTTGAAACTTGCATAAAAAGAGTTTTGCACTGGAACACATGGGAGTTAGGTTATTTCTACTCCTTATGATAGCTATCTACTAGTTACTAATAAACTAAAAATATTATATTTTTATTCTGTTTAATTATATATTTTTGCCTGTTATAAAATTCTATATTTATATAAAATACAATGAAAATATAAACTGATCGCGCAACACGCGATAAAGAATAACCTAGTACTTAAATAAAAGACACAGTAGGTAAGAATTAATGCCTAAGAAATATTCAAGGACCGTCGAATGAACTTGATATGACGTCAGCGACTTATTAGAGGAAAAATTAGAAGTTGATATATTCAGTTTTGCCCTAAAATTTGAAAAATCCAAAACTTCTTGTAAAAATTCCCCAGATGGAAAAACGATATCATTCTTAGGGGTTTAGGTGGGAAAAACTCCCACCTCCAAAACGACGACATTTTTGAGAGACTCCATCGCAAAATAAAAAAAAATACATAAATGCTTTCCTCCTCGTTAACGGTTGAGATTTTCCAAACCTTGGTATAACTTGTAAGATATATTATGAATGATTTCAAGTCCAAATGGAGGGAATAAACACATGCCTATGGCTTAGTGAACCCACATAAACGGTTTCAAGCAATCCTAGTGGTCCATATATCTCGTACATCGGAATGGCTCCAAATCTTGGTGACACCTATAAGGTATATAATGAATAATTTCAAGCCCAAATGGAGGGAATAAATACATGGTTGTGGGTTTACGGAGCCATAGCCATGTGTTTATTCCCTCCATTTGGGCTTGAAATTATTCATTATATACCTTATAGGTTTCACCAAGATTGGGATATATTTCGATTTACAAGATGAGACTTATCAATATGGGCCATTAAGATTGCTTGAAACTGTACATGTGGGTTTACTGAGCTATATTCGTGTGGTGAGACGATTTTTGTGTTGCCGTTGGAATCGCTTCTCAAAAGAATAATTTATAAACCTACTTAAGACTATTAGCTAATGGTAAGTAGGGTCGTTCCACAGGGACGGCAGTCAATCGCTTAAAATCTGATTAAAATGCAGGAAAGAAAAGAAAATAGTTGAACAGATTGTCACTTAGGAGAGTGAGAATAGTCACTTGACAGAGTGAAGAGGCAGAAGGGTCAATCACCTTCCTATTTTTATGATCCAGTTTTGATTCAATATTCCTGTAGTGTATGATTAGTTGTTCGGTCAGGCACCTATGTATCTTTATAATTCCTTCCAGATAGAATAAAGAGTCCTAGATTATCAATCCAGTCAGAGTCCTATTAATCTAAGTCATGAAGTTCTTAAGCCCTTATAGATCGCCTATGCCACCAGCGAACTGCCGTTGGTGAATGAAACCAAAGGGGTGAAATTCCTCCTCTGTCATAGACTAGATTAAGCAGTTCTAAGGTTATGCGCTCCCTTCCAGATCTTCATAACCATGCAGGCACTTTTAATTAATTGATCAAGTTAACTAAAAGGTAAATTAAAGCACTTATCTAGGCACAACACCTCATCAAGGAAACTTAATCAAAACCTTCACATAAAAATAGTAGGGATTGAACCCTTAACTGAGTTAGCTACTCATGCTTATTGAGTTAAGCATGAGAGCAACAGAATACAAAAGATAGGACATGAATCCTGATCAACAGGTTAGAGGAAAGAAGGGAAGATGGTAGAAGGGACAGTTCTTTCTGTTCACTATGGCGAGTGGTGTCTGCCACTTGATAGAGTGACAGTCTGCCTTGTTCCTACTACTACCCTGTTTCTAACCAGCTAACTAACTACTTAACTAATGTCTTTATGGACTAAATCTAACTACCTAGTCTGTCATTTTTCCTACTGCTATTGGCTGGCTATTTATAGAGATTTGGAGAGGCTTGGATTGGTGGAGTTCTGGCCTTCTTCTCTGCAGCAGAAAGATGAGACAACAACTTGCAGCAGAGGAGATTTGTTTGTTCTGCAACTTGCCCAGTTAGCAAGTTGCAGTCTTCTCTTTGGCTGCTCCTTCTCTTCAGCCGCAATTTACCACTCTCATCATTGCCTGCTTCTCTTAGTCTTCTTCTCCGGCCCAGCTGCTCCACTTTCTAGCCACAAGTCTCTATTTCTTCATTCTTCAATTCTCAGCAGCCAATTTAGCTGTAGCAGCAAGCAGCAGCATCAGCAACATACGTTCTTCCATCATTATGTCTTCAGCCCCCAATTCAGTCTGAATCTTCTGCCCTTTTTCTTCCTTGTTTCCTGAGTCACTTGCTATGCCATTGCTCACCCTTCTGCAGCAGCCAATCCATCAACGCAACAGCAGCATCAGTGGGTAAGTAGCAGAGTTGCAGCTGCGGCTTATCACATATTCTCTCTCTTTTTCTTCTTCCACTTACAACAGCAATAACTTGCAGTGATGGCAAAATAATTTCCTTCCTTGGGCATCAAGATTTCAGCTAGTGGCACCTCTTTGATTGACAGAAGCAACAGCTACTGTAGCAGCAATCAGGCAGCAAGACAACTGCCATTCTTCCTCCAGATTGAGTATGCTGCAGCAGATTCTTCCACTTGAATCCATCTGCCATCAATCTTCCTTCCTTAGCACGGATTTCTCCACTTGCTCCAGCTCTGATCAGTCCTTCCAGCAGCTTCTAATCCAGTCCTTTTTATGCCTTTTTGTGCAATTTGGTCCTCATTAATGCCGATTTTCTATATTGGCCCCTTGAGATACTTAAACTGTAAAATAACCCCAAAAGTAAGCTAATCCTAACTAATTGACACTAAGTTATAAGTAGAAATGAGTAGAAAATGCTAGCAAAAAGGGTATATAATTTTGCGTCATCAGCTCGTGTTTATTTCCTCCATTTGGGCTTGAAATCATTCATTATATATTTTTATAAGTTATGCCCAAGTTTGGAGCCATTCAAATGTACGAGATGAGACTTGACCATTTGGGCCATTAGGATAGCTTGAAACTGTACATGTAGGTTTACGGAGCCATAGGCATGTGTTTGTTCAGTCTATTTGGGCTTGAAATCATTAATTATATATCTTTTAAGTTACACCAAGGTTTGGAGTCATTCCGAAGTACGAGATGAGACTTGTCCATATAGGCCATTAGGATAGCTTGAAACCTACATATGGGTTTACGGAACCATAAGCATGTGTTTATTCCCTCCATTTGGGTTTGAAATCATTCACTATATATCTTATAAGTTATACAAAGTTTGGAGCCATTCCGATAAGAAATAGATATGAATTTTTTTGTTTGTGTTGTTAAATATGTCAATTTTTTGGTCCCGGTTGTTAAATACGTTAATTATGTCAATTTTTTTATCTGGGCTATTAAACAAAAATAATAGAAACAATGAAAATAAAAGTGAAAACTCATATTAAGGGAAGAATAAAAATCTTAGGGTTTAGGGTTTGAAATCCGTAAATGTAATATTGAGGGAAGAATAAAAATCTTAAGGTGTAAGTGTTAGTGCTCATAATATTTAGTAGTAATCATTATTTTCTTTCACTGTACATATCATAGTACTATTTGGATATGTGTATTATTAACGAATGTATAAAAGATTTTCACAGTTATGATGGATTTTTTTTTTATATTTTAGATGACGGTTACAATTACCGTTATTCATGATCCATGCCTATTAACATTTTTTCAAAAGGTTTAAATACAATCTTGAACACGTAAATTGTTAAATATGGTCAATCAATCAAATAAGATATTCTTCTTATCAATAGCCACGGTCGAACACAAAAAAAAAAAAATGATGGAAAGCCCTTGATTACATAGGTTCTATCTAGTATTAAAACTATAACTGGATTCTATTCAAGGCATCCGATCTTATGGTGTAAATCTAGTTGTTCCCTAAAGACATCATTCTCCCATAACCTTATCATTTGCGTTATTTTGGGGAAAAAAAAAAAACAAAAACAAAACAAAACAAAGTCTGAGGCATGACCTAATATATTGCACACTCTAAAAATTTCTCCCCAAACATAATCCGAATCTTAGTTAACAACCATTGACTTTTCTGTCGTATTATGAAAACAATGGATGAGAAGGAAAAATGGTTTCAAAATCCCAAAGGCCCCTCTGCAGATATCTTGTTTCATCTCTTTATCTCTTTTTTCCCATATTATTTTGAATTCTTTCCTCTCTTTCTCTTTCTATCTCAAGTTTTGATCAAAATTCACGATTTTTTACTAGCTAGCGGGTAGTATTATGCATAGAATTATAGGAAGCACTGTACCCAGAATGTATGACAATTTCTGTAGCCGAGTCTGAATCAATAATCATTATTTAAAAGATTCAGAAGCACAAGAGTCATTTTTCAACATTTAAAGGTTTTTTTTTTTTCATTCATTCGTAATTTTTTTTCTTATAACCTGCATTCATTATTATTTTAAAAGGGCATTTTGTATTTCCTCTTCATGCAGGGCAAAATCGATGGAAATCATTGTATAATTCTGTATTTTACTCTTATCCATCTGCTTTGGACATTTTTGCAATAAAATGTCTGTGGAGCAAATGAATACGGATAGGAATAATGTTTCAGGTAAAAATTATTGTACACCTATTATAGCTTGTGGCCTATTTTTTCTTATTTACATCTGAGAATTTATGGGATGAAATTATGTTCAGATCGATAGCTTGTGGCATAAATATATATATATATATATACATATATATATGTATATATATATATATATATATCTGTGTGTGTGTGTGTTTGCGTGTGTGTTCCCAGAATTTTGTTCGTGATTCACTTTTAATATTATCGTGAATTATTACGATCGGCAATTGTGAATTGAACATTAGAGGAATGTTTGTCTATCAATTTTTTTTTTTTTTTTGAATGTTTGTCTATTTAGCTTCTCTTTTTTTAAAAAAATAAATGTTGCTGTAAGCATTCGGGAAATTTAAGATTTCAGACCATACAATTCGCATAGAAGGAAGAAAAAATTTTGATTTTTTAATCAGATATAATTCTACGTTTTTAATTAGATTGACTTGTTTATCATTTCTTATATGATATTCTCATTTTCCATATATGCCTCAAATACTCACTGTTTTACGACCAGGTTTTTGCCTTTCTGATCTATTGCGTATGGAAGCCTCTTCAAGCTGTAGCACTCTCACCAATGACACAGACCATGCTTCCTGCGGTAATTTCTTCAATTTAACAATTTGTATCTTATGCTTGACCTTGCTTTGGTAGTTCTAGTTTTTTTATTCCCCGTATCAAAGTGATTATTACTTTAAATTTTTATTTTAGTGTAAATCATACTTCCTTTGTTTCTAAAAATATAGTTCAAATTGAATTCCCAGATTTTTATTAAAAATATTACGAATCTTAAAAATTAATGTAAATTATTTTTCGAGACAGAAAAAATACTAATAATCAGTAGGCTCTAGCAGCTCTCCAGTTTTATGGAGTAGGTTTTGTGAATATATCAGCTTTTCTTCATAACTCACACTTACATATAAATATGGGGAAAATTCTCCTTTACATTGTTAGAATTAGTCTCGGGTCTTCTCCAAAAGAGACTTCTATTCCAACCACTGATATACATTATTATGAGGGGATATATGTTGAATTTGTCAGGCTCTCAAATTACTGATTCATTTTTTTAGAAAATTTTGTATCTTAGGTATAAAGAAAAATGAAAATTAAAAATAACAACTAAAAACTCGGTTTTCAAGTAAATTTATTTTAATGTGATTAAGTTTACAACAAGCGATATGCATACAGTTGTGTGGTTAATTAAATAGAGTTTCAAGTCATACTAGTCGTTCAGGGAGAGATTTAGAGTTATTGTGTCACATGTTGCATTGGAGTCTAAAAAAAAAATTATAACTAGGTTAAATTAAATGTATAACCATGTTTTGACGTCAAAATTCTTACCGCATTCTATCATATCATCATACATCGTTCAAATTTTATTGCATTTTCTTTATCGATTTTAAATTAAGATAACTATTTACAAAATAAAAATAAAAAAATGCAGATTCTGATCATGAAATTTAAAGTAAAAATTTTTCACAGATCTAATTTACACAACTATTCACAAAATTGAAATCTTAATTATTATTATTCTATTTTATTTCTTTTTTATGAAAAAAGAATTAGTATATATCCCGTTATTCATTGATTAGGATAAGATTTGTTGAAATATCTAAATATATTTCACTAATTAGGATTATTTTTGTTAGAATATCTAAGAATATGTATTAACTTTTTTCTTTTTGATAAAAAAAGTAAGGACATAACGAAATTGTTTGGAATTGCACCTTAAGTGTAATTTAAGATGATTTTTTAAAATTTTTATTTTAGCCTATCAAATTCAAAGAAACCTAACGATATTTACATTTAATTTGCCTATAAAAATTGCACCCGAAGATTACGCCAACAAGCCCCCAAAAAGTTCATTTTTATTTCACTAATTAGGATTATTTTTGTTAGAATATCTAAGTACATGTATTAACTTTTTTCTTTTTGACAAAAAAAGTAAGGATATAACGAAATTGTTTGGAATTGCACCTTAAGTGTAATTTAAGATGATTTTTAAAAATTTTTATTTTAACCTATCAAATTCAAAGAAACCTAACGATATTTACATTTAATTTGCCTATAAAAATTGCACCCGAAGATTACGCTAACAAGCCCCCAAAAAGTTCATTTTTTCCCCCAACAAATAAAGAATCAACTAAGTTGACGATTTAGAAGATCATCAACTTTTTACGTATACATTGTATATAATTTTTATACAGTTTCTATTTTAGACCCTTTTTTCTTTGACAAAATAATTAATTTTTACAATATATTTTAATATTGTGAAATGATTGGGAATAAATCTAGTATGTTTTTTTTCAAAAAAGAAAGAATATGCATGGTCTTTTTAATTACGGTTAAGGTTTAAGTTCTTAAATGTGCATGTAGTAGAGATTACTCTGTTCGTACCTCTTATAATTTTTTTTAAAAAAAAAAGATTTACGTTAGCATCCCCTGGAGGAATACATTAAAACTCCCTAAGTTAATATTAATAATTAATAAATTCTAATAAATAATAAATTTTTTAGGTCACGATTCAGGATCAATACAAAATTCAAACAATATCAATAAATTAATAAGATAAAAAATTTTAAAAATTTAATTTATAAATATAGATCTCCTAAATATCATTAATTAAAAATGAGAAATGACTAAAAAGGTTTAAGGAGATATGGGGCTATTGAGTTTTGCTTTGTCTTGAAATTTACATTAGAGAAAATTTCATTTATGATTTTCTCTCCACCCATAAATAAAAATAGTTGGATCATTATACTTACGAAAGTAAGGTTAAAGTTGAGTTTTTTGTGTACTAATAGAAATTTTAAAAAGCAACTTTTTACAATAATAAAATAGTATTTCTTTAATAAAATAATAATTATTAATTTATTGATGAAATAATAACTTTTATAAATTAGTAAATTTTTGTGGACCCAACATTATTTATTAGTTAATGGAGTTTTTAGTGATCTTTCCTTTTTCTTTTGGACACTATGCTTTACTAACGGCCACTTATGAATTATGCAGATTAGGTAATACATGTAAATTTCTGATCCATATGTAAATATAACCATAATTTCTCTATCCAAAAGTGATTATCAAGTGTGTATTTTCGTTTCTAGTATAATTTAAATTAGACAATTCTTTCGAGACAGAGAGAATAACAATTAATAAGTCAGAGTACTAATGCTGTATATAGCTTTCCCCTTCCTAAAATTTACAAATTCTTGAGTTCTTTCAACTGGATAAACCAACATGATGTGAATCTTGGAAGAACAAAAGCTCCCAATTAGTCGAAAGTTTAAAATTCGCCCTAGACAACTTGCTGAATATGCTTCTAAAATGAAGCCAGTCCCTATCCTAGAAACCTAAGATAAAATGAAACCTTGAACCTTTACCCTGGAACCATGAAGTAGTCATATTTATTTATTTTTTTTATTGACAAACTAACATTGCTTATTTACCAATGGAATTATTTTTTGCATATCAGGTCCGCAACAAAGGCTTGAAAATATATTATCTGAACCTGGAAATGGATTTTGTGCAGACTGTGGATCTCCCGATCCGAAATGGGTGTAAGCTTGTTATTTAACTGGTTCAATTATTGGCATTTGAAAATCACTAACGATCTAACTTTAATCAACTTTCCTTTGTTCTCATTATTTTTATCTTCATTTATCAAGTTCTTTTGCTATTTTTGCAACAATTCAAGCTTATATTCCTTATTACAGGCATGTCTTGGATTTTTTTTTTCTTTAAAGCAAAAAGTTTTCTTTTTATATAAATGCAACTGTAACATGATCTCTTTTGGACAACTGATTCATTTTTCCATATTTTTGTATATATTATATCCCTATAAATAATTAATTCTTAGTCTTAATATACCTTTTTGATGACCAGATCGTTGAGCCTTGGGGTTTTTGTATGTATTAAATGTTCTGGAGTTCATAGAAGCATGGGAGTACACATAACAAAGGTCAGCGCCGACTTTCAAGTCGTATTTTTCAGATTTGGGTAAAGCAACTTGTTCGAAATTGGAAAGTACGTATACAAATTTAGAGCAAAAACTGCACCAATATTTGACCTCGTTTAGATTCACATGCTCTAAGAACAAGCTTTAATCGAACAAGTAGTGATGAACTCGTAGTAATTGTATTGTTATATTCCAATTATAAATACTGAGTTTTGTTTTTTCCACATCAAGGGAGTAGTTATAAGGAACAATTCATGAGTCAATTAAAATATTTAGTTGTTTATTAGTGAACTATCAATATTTTATCCGTATTATGAAAAGTCCACACACTTCCTAGGCAAAAATACATAGAACTCAAATCAAAAAATTTAGTCAATTTATGTAAGAGTAAAATTAGAAAAACACAATAAATAAAACATTAAATACCTTATAAATAGTACCAAGAGAAATCTTAAAAAGTATTACTCCTTCTATTCCAAAATTATTGAGCAGTTTGAAATTTCACTTTTAGTACAATTCGAATTAAAAATGAAAACTCAAGCTGGACTATAATTATAGGACGGGGGGACTATATATATAATTAGGACGGGAGAAATTATTGTTTTTCAAAGTTCACAGGCTATGTAGTATGGAATTTGTATAATGTCATGTTATAAAGTTCCAGATCAAGCAATCTGATTAATGCTCATTACTTCTCATTGATGAATTAAAATTGTTCATTTCTCTATTTTTTATAGGTGTTGTCAGTTAAACTAGATGAGTGGACAAATGATCAAGTTGATGCCTTAGTAAGCATGGGTGGGAATACCACTCGAAACTTGAAGTATGAAGCCTGTCTTCCGGACAACTATAGAAAACCAAAACCAGATTCATCAAATGAAGAGCGCTCTGATTTCATTAGGTAGTCTTTTTTGGCACATCAAAAAGATCTTTAAACTCAAATAGTACGTAGAAGCCCCTGATTTGTCCGCTACATTTGGCTGAAAAGTAATTTCCGTTGTCAACACCAAAAAAAAAAAGAAAAAAAAAAGGGAAAAAAAAAAAGAGTTCTCTTTTTAGTCTGCTACATCCTACGTTTGATTTTACTATCTTTTCTAGTCCAAAAGAGTGAATCCGAATAAATTAGTGTAGTCCACTAGTTTTAACCAAAAGGAGTAACACAATAAGCTGACTACAAATTATACTCCATTTGTTTCATAATAATAATCCACATTATAAATCGTTAAATTATAAATTGTATTGTATTTCTATTTTTATAATTTGTAAGGTAGACTATTTTTGTGGAATATATAAAGTATTTCTTTTGAGGGGCCAAGATACTACTATTGAGTCAAATGTAACGGGCCAATTAGGGGCTAAAATCTGATACTCCATCTTGTTTAAGATTTCATTGTCTTATTTGGATTTTCATTTTTAGTACTAATTATACTAGGAAATAAAAAAAAATTTTAACGATCATTTTGGAGACGGAGTTATTTGTCATCCTTTTTTTTCTAATTATGGAACTACATTGATATACATAAATACAGGAGAAAATATGAGCTCCATCAGTTTTCAAGCTCCGATGAAGCGCTATACTGCCCCTTGCCATCGCCGTCATCGTCGCCGTGCAGTCAAAGTCAAACAAGCTGTAGCTACATTTCATCAACGGATCATCGTCACAGGAGAAACTGTGAGAAACAGACGGCGACGTCGACGAATCGTTTTAATGGGTTGGGTCATGCGTTTCGTAACAGCTGGCGGAGAACTTCGGAGCAGAAATCAACTAAGAAAAGTAATTCAATGGTATGATTGAGATTTTCAATTTTTTTTTTGGTGGACATTTTTCTTTTTGGTTGTTCTTTTAATTTTGGAGGTTGTATATCTTACCAGTCCACGTACATTTGCAAAAAATAGGCCGGTATGGTTGAATTTATAGGATTGATAAAGGTGAATGTGGTTAGAGGCACAAATCTTGCAGTGCGAGATATGATGACAAGTGATCCTTATGTCATCCTTTCTTTGGGAAATCAAGTGAGTAAAACTAATTCTCTTTTTTCCTTTCTCATATACTCCCTCTAATCCTTAAAATAAAGTATTTTGATTTGTCATAAGTTTCACTTAATATGCATTTTTAATAGACGAAAGAAATCTTAAAAATATATTTTCACATTCGTTATATTCTCTTGATTGTTATGATATACTTTTAAAGTTTTTTTGTCAATTAAAAATACACCTAGGACAAATCAAAAAAGCTTATATTAAAGACCGGAGGGGATATATATTAGTACTTCCTCCTTTGTCTTTGCGAAAAATAGTCCACCTTATAGTTTCTGAACAGATTGCAATGCGAGCTATTTTTTTTTTAAGATGTATAAAAAAAAAGTTCTTTTTGTAGTCAGTAAAGACACGGGTGATAAAGAACAACCTCAACCCAGTATGGAACGAAAAGCTAATGTTGTCGATACCAGATAATGTTCCTCCTCTGAAATTGGTAACGTTAATTATTATTCTTCTATTTTCTACACTACTTTTATGATATGCTCTTTTTCTTAAAAAAAAAAAAAGATACCCAATTTTTCTTTCAGATTGTATATGACAAGGACACGTTTTCGACGGATGATTTCATGGGGGAAGCTGAGATAGACATTCAACCCTTGGTCTCCGCTGCAAAGGCCTCGGAGACTTCCACTATTCACGAGCCAGTCCAGATTGGGACATGGAAAGCATGCAGAGAAAACACCCTTGTAAGAGATGGCATCATTACCCTTGAAGGTGGGAAAGTGAAGCAAGTTATAGCTCTTAAGCTGCAAAACGTTGAAAGGGGTATTCTTGAGATTGAACTCGAATGTGTTCCTCTCACGCAATAGTTATGTGTTAATCAACTAAAAAAGAACTGCTTAGCCAAAGACTACTTCATGTTGGACAGCCCTAAAATACCTTTGACACTGGAAACCTTCATGTCTATTAGTTTTCGGTTTCATCCATGCTGTTTGTATTCTACTATTTACACCTATAGGCTATATATGTATATAGATATATGGGGTGTACGTTGAAAAATTATTGTAAATCTCGGAATGAGTTGTATATCTGTTCCATTTTGATTTCCTGTGCTTCTCGTGTGTAGATGTCTTTGTTGTTTATCATTGCGTTATTTGATCATCTATCATTGCATCATGTATGCTAGCTAATGGTTTGCTACAATTGTGTTTTTTAGTTATTATTGCTTTTATTTTAGTACAATATAATTAGTATATAGTATGTTTTAAATTGCATAAAGGAATTGATGAAACTATGAGAAACTTATTCAGTTGACGCATTCTGAAAAAAAAAAAAACACACACACACACACATTCTCAAAAAAAAAAAAAAAAATTCAGTTGACGGAATTGGCAACGCACACTTTTGCGCTCTATCCTTGTCGGTTTGGTTTGACTGGTTTTCCCCCTTTCATTTGATGATCAGGAATCTTTGCATCAGATTTATTTCCTAGAGTTTATCACACATAAAATTGTACTATTTCTCGAGTTTTGTTTCAGCTGTGCCGACAACGGCTACACCAAATAAATCGGATTTTGGGTGTCTTAAACACTTGGAAAACCCAGACTCATCTTTGTCATCAAAACTAAAGATGTGGACACGTAACTTTCAGCCAAATGCTTTTCGGAATGAAATAACCACTTGAAATATCAGAGCACAACAACGACAATCCTCATTCAGCACCCACGAAATAAAAAAGGGTCGTTCTCCCTTCAAGAAGATTATTGATGATAATTATACAAGTATCCGCTAAGAAAGAAGTAATTCGAGCCTAACTATTTCCTTCACAGTCTACAATAAATCAACTTGAAGTAATCAACAGAAGTGCAACAGAGCTTTGACCGCCAAGAGAGATCCATATGCTCTGGTTCATGACATTAGCCCCTCAGAAAATAAACACCCCAATTGCCATTCTATGTAGCAGCTAATCTACTCATCTTTCATTGATGACTTTGATTATGAGGAGGAGGACCAGGAGGCAGCGGTGGTTGCATCCCTGACAAGGGATTAAAATTTGACGGCAAGCTTCCGATTGCTGTATTGTTTGGATTCCCAGCCTATGGCACATGGTAGAGGTAACGTCAATACCATATCTAACTAAAAACTGAGGTAACCTGGCTGCTTGGCTTGTTCATAGCAGGAGGCAATGATAAACATAAATGACCAAATTCACAGTATACACATAATATAAGATAATAGGCTGCCACTCAATGAAGAATGACGCAGTCCATCCATCCTATCATCAATTTCAAACTTATTAATCAATTTCATCGCCTCATGACACACCTTCTCACTCTGCCTTCTGATTGAAAGTGACTAACATCACAAGAAAGGAAAATTTTCTGCATCTCTCATCAGTTGAAAGGCCAAATAGACTACAGAAACAACTGAAGAAGCTAACTCGCATGAAGGGATACTAATCTCATTCAAAGAAAGCCTATATGCTCAGAGAGAACCCTTTACATTAACGTAGGAAATGGTTCTCAACATCCTTAGATTAAAGAGCTCATAGCATAGAAATAACACCAAAACAAGCAAGCGATACAGACAATTACCGACTAGGTAAAATTTGACAGCATTTGATTTGACATCATCGTTTGAGATTGTTTCTCTTACCTGGAAGGGATTAAGTCCTGGCATCATTGGCATTTGCCCAGCTTGCGGCCTGTTGAAACCACCTACTTGAGGAAACATTTGAGGACCAGTTGCACTAGAGGGGCCTTGCATGTTCAATAAACCATTTGGAATACCTCCAGGCGCTACATTACCTGGTGGCCCAGATCCAGAAGGCATAGTGTTCATGCTTATGAAGTGCCCTTGGGGCATTGCTGGGCCCATCTGATTCATATTGCCTTGCATCCCCTGAATAAAGAAAGTGCAATTTAGAAGTTAGTAAAATATTCAACCTTAACTGCATTCCTCCTTTTTACTGCTTGCAATTGCTAATCAAAACAAAAAGCTATGGAAACACTAAACACTACATTTAGGTAACAGTTCAAAAAGATTATATAAGAACGAGGGACATGAAAAATAACACTTATATAGAGATGAATACAGTTTCAAAAGCTAATGATTAAAAAGCATTTCACTTTTATAAATATTAAAAACCAAAAAAAAAAAAAAAACCAAAAACAAAAAAACAAAAAAAAACAAGAAACAATTTACTTGGAAAAAACAACAAGCACGCTTGGTCTAACAGCTTACTTTGGAAGGGGACACCGGATCCTAAAGATGACAACCCAGAGACATTCTTCCAAACAATAAAATAAACAAGAGAGAAGTTCGCACCATTGGGCCTCCCATAGGCACAGGAGGTAATGTTCCTTGCATAGAAGATGGAATGCTAGAAGGTGTATTTGGTTGCATCTGGGAAGGAGGGCGAGGTAGATGAGGATGTGGCAGCAGAGGTTGATGGGCGGAAGGCAATGACATCTGCTGACCCATTGGTTGATGCTGCTGTACCTGCTGAGCATTTTGTTGATAAGGCTGATTGCTAGAAACAAGAGATGGATGAGGCCCAGGTGGAAGCGGTGGAGCACTCAAAGGCATCGAAACAGACATGGATGGCTTCTGATCCCCCTGAGTGGAGGAATCAAGTAATTGAATTGAAAATGGCATCGCAACTCCAATTCCAGGTATAGTACCCTCATTTCTTGTTAATCCTGCACCAAATGGTCCAGGAGTTGTTGGTCCCTCCAGTCCAGGATAAGTAGGCATGCGACTGCCTAAACCACTATTCTGCTCACCAAAGCCTAAAAAACAAAAAAGGTAGATGAAGTGCTTCGGGATGGGAAGATGACTCATCAGCAATAAGGATTTGGTAACATAGCAATCTATATTCTCTAGTCTAGTTTAAAAAAATGCCAGAGCAACAACTAAAGCAGGTTATATCTCCAAAACCAACCTGCACTTGATTTCTCACGAGATTGGTCACCAGGTCTATTTCTGCACCAAAACTTAGTCGCGTGATCATTACCACCACTGCATCAAAATTACTAAAACAAGTTAAAAAAGAACACAAAAGTCACAGAAACAATTTCTGTTGGAGTTCAAACCAACTAATTAGCTGAAGAGCGCAAAATAAGCCATAAATACAATCAGCCAGAGACTCGAAACTAGGGATAAACCAAGAGTTTATAGAAAATAAAAGTTAAAAACACTAATGAACTTCGACAAGCGAATACAAAATGTGATACCTGCATAGTATATATCCAATGGGGTGCCAAGCAAGATCCCAAACACTGTTGTCATGACCACTAGAAATTTCAACTTGTGGAGTGTCTTGCCTGTCCGACACATAGGTTTGGTTTGAAGAAAAAAAAATTAGGTCTCAAAGCTGGATATTAGCATAAAACAGCCATGACAATCAGAAACAATGATTAAATGTAAAAAAGTGCACCAAGCTGATTCAAAGATGGAACAGGCGATACAAGGTTGGCACAAATTTCTTTCACTGCAATTTGACCATTTTTCCATCTTTACAAAGCTAAGTACGTATACAAGGATCCCCACCCAAAAAAAAAAAAAAAAAAAGAGAAAGAAATTGAGGATATAAATACTAACAGAAAATTAAGGAATGTAAAATATGGTGTCACATATGCAAGCTGTTCTCTAGAAACATCTTCTAGAATAGCAGCAAAAAGCCACTATAAACAGACATCAATTCCACATTCATGAATTTACATTCAGACAAAGTTCTCCTATAGAAATAGCCATGCCATTTTATTTGATGCAAACTTTCGAGTTTAAACAAATTGGTTGAATGAGCCACAGTAGGCAAATTACACCAACGAGATTTTCATTACGATTTTATATGTAAATCTAATGGACCAAAACTTCTCCTCTCTTCCCACAAATGACACATCAGCAAAGATTATCATAACATCCACAAAACATGCAAATATCTTCCATAGAAATCTCAATCATCGCAAACATATTCTGAAATGCAACCTAAGGAGGCAAACTTTCCACTTTCTACAGCTGAAAAGGAAGCCACAGTTGCCCATAAAATCCATTAAGTGCAAGGGTCTAAGCAGACACATTAAGTTCATACAATTAAGAAAGAGAAGCAGGGCTAAAGAATTCCTAACTTCTAAGAAATTTCGTATAAGACCCAATGTCATGCGAGGCATGAGAATGTTCCTGACTAACTGTCAACAACTAAGCATAGCACGACTCTATTCTCTTTTTTCCAGAACTGAGACCACCTCTCTGATATTTAAGGGTTTCTAGCAAGGGACAGATTTAAATTGGAAATATTGCTCTAGATGTTGGAAGAGGCAAATGATGAGAAACAAGAATTAACAGACCCTTGAAGGGCTCTCAAGATGTAGTTTGTGCATGTAAACCACTATAGTCTGCTTAAATCAAATATGTAATATCCCGAGCACACACAGAAAGGCCAAACCAAGTAAATAAAATGTACAGGAAAAAATAATAATTAAAATAAAGTTAATATCCCCTGAAAAGAGAACGATTTTCATAAATAGTGCTCCCTCTATCCCAAGAAAAAAGACTGCATTGCAGAAAGTACAACTTTTTAAATTGGGTTGTACATCCATTACTTCAACCATAATTTCCAAACACACCCCTGGGTTTTACTTATACGACGCCGATGCTATTCTCTCCTTTCCCATTCCCCCGTCATTCAGCTCTTCCCTTTTATAATTATATAAACACTTTCTTCGAATTCTAACAGCTCTCTTCCTCAATTTGAATTTTGACTGGCTTATTCAACTTTTCCTGGTTAAGTTTTCTTGTATGTATGCTATTGATTGTGATTGATCTATGCTGATAATTGAAGGACTTTACCAATTATGGAGTTGCCAATCAATTTGTTCCAATTGATGTTTGACTTGGTATTTTGCTATTGTTGGATAGCTGTAACTTATTTTTTCTTTTTTTTTCGTGTCAGAAATCAAATTTTTTGACAGTCCATAAATCTAAAGCAATAGTTTATGAAAAACTTCATCTTTCTTCTATTGAATTGATTTCAAGTATAATTTGTGTATAGTGCGTAACTGAATAGTTTGCATAATGGCAGCCAGTTCTCCATTCATGGGCTCTATTTTCCGGCGGAACATCTTTGTTCCAGAGGACATTGGTTTTTATTACTTATGGATTTTCCGGTTGTTTTCTTTGGGGAGATTTTGAAGTGCACCATGACGATATTCTTCCAGCGTGCATGAAATGAAGTGAAGGTGGAGAAGTGAGCAGCATTGGAGGCGGTGGTGAAAGTTGATATTCATTAATTTTAAATTAATTATAAACTTTTTGAAACTGAACAATTTTTTTGGGGACAAAATTAAATAGTGAGACTGGACTATTTCTGGGACAGCTAGAGTATCATAAAGTCGATAGATTCATAACGTTGATAAAGAGTTCATGCTAAATAGCTCAAATAATCTAAAATTGTGCATTCTTAATTAGCTAAAAAGAGCAGAGTACATACCCAACAACCCAATGAAAAATTGATCCATCATAACTGCCGCTAACAAAATACTCCTCATGAAAAGGATGCCACGCCAATGCTACCACCAAAGGACAGCAAAATACAACGAACATGAAGAAGATAAGAGATTAAGCGCAAGGGTACAGCAAAAAAGAACACCGAAAGAAATTAGAAAGCTAAAGATGAGCAAAAAGCACAAAATAGTTCACGTAAGACACAAATCAATAACAAAAGAAAAGGAGCAGCCACAGTGGTTACACTTTTTACAATCAATTCCTTTTCTTTGCAGGGTAAACCAGTTTATCGAAGAACTGTGAAAAATGTGCCTTCATAACATAAAACATTCAATTCATTTACACACTAAAGAAAGTATCCATAAGATATAACATACAGCGATGATACAATATTCAAACTATGTAATGAAAAAAAATACGGGATGTCATATTTAAAGGCGCTTATTTTATACTTCTTTTTTATTTTTTGGATATGTTATTTTCATGTGTAAAGCAGATAATTTCGTCGTATTTTCATGACCAGATTCCCTTCATGATCTTTTCCCAAACTTTAGTCTAAAATCTACATTGTCAAAACTTATCCATGCATACAAATGACTAGGATTCTCTCCTCAGTACAAACTAATAACATTCAGTTGTTCATAGAGACAACTCGGTTTGTTCTTACACAAATATAGTGGAAGTACAATCATACCAGTAACATCCTTACGATGCCCGCGGAAAGATTCAAGCTCCTTCATAGTCCTTATATCATACAGCTGCAGAAATTAATAGCAGGTACGAATAAGCAACAACCAATTGGAGAGAAAACAAACAGGTCTTCAAGGGCTACAACTATATAAGGCAGTTACCTTAATAAGTTGATCTTTTGAAGCAGTAAGGACCCAATTTCCATTCTGATTCCATTTGACACAAAGCACAACATTCTTGTGTCCATGACTGCAAACCCAGACATCATATCAACATACAGAAGATTTAACTCACATGCACAGGGAAATAGGAGATAAGTGAATCACTAACAAGGAACAAAGCTCCCTTCCGGACTTTGCATCCCAAAGTTTAACAAGATAGTCTTTTCCACCTACAAGCCAAATCCAAACAAATGACAGGCTAATCCAACCTAACAATCTTAATACTTAATTTGACCAAAAATTAAAAATAAAAAATAAAGGAAAAAAAAAGTGAGTAAATAATGCACCTGAAACTAACAAAGACTTCGTAGGATGCCAGTCGACACTTTTAACATCCCAACCATGGCCTGCCTGAGTTTAATGGATGAAGAAGAAGATTCTTAGGTTAACAAAAGTATTTTGCGCATGTTAACGACAAATGAAAATGTAGTCCAAGTAGAAAATCAAGAGCAACATCCAACAAATTTTGAGGTCAGGTGTGGCAAATCCTGCTCAAATGTATTAGCAGTTTAGGTTGTAAGTATCCATATACATTTGAGGAACATTATACAGGTACTGACTGACAATGCTTTTCAGCTTTCTGTGCTTAAAGCCCACAACTGATCATCAATCTAGAGATATCATTTGGAATCAATATACAGAACTAGGGCCTAAGATCTGCGAGATGCGATGACAGAAAATTCGAAGACTGAAAAAGGGAATGGAAAGGTGTGCTGGATGAGAGTAAAGAAGAAGAAGCTCGAGGCAATCCAAACCATGTAGCAGTAAGGAATAATCTCATTATCAGACCTACTAATAAATTGAGGCCATTACCAGTTAAAGAGCGCTCTTCTTGACACCGAGCAAAGTCCCACACCTTAACTGTTGTGTCATCAGAACATGAGCAGAATTTCAGATCCGTCCTACAGAAGCTATTCAAGAAAATAGAAATACAAAAGAATCAGCTTTTTACAATACATGTATCCGCTTTTGTTTAAAAAAAATAGTAAAACAAAACATAAGGTATGTACCTTAAATCACGAACTGATTCCTTATGGGCTGATTTATTGGCCTTGACATTATTCATGTTGTTTTGCCAGTACCTACATTAAGGGCGCCTCAGTAAAGTTCAAGCATAAGTAATAGAAGCACATCATACAAAAGTGGCCTCAACATCTTACTTTATTGCACCCCCATCATCACCTGTAACCATCCAGTTATCATTGTAACTCCATACCATAGACCTGACTGCTTGATCATGAGCCTACAAGATACGAACAATCATCATTCTATCAACAGTGTCTTTTGTAGGAACCTTTACGATCAAATAAATAAAATAAATACCTGCAATATCATTTCAAAATTAAATGACTGCCCATTCCATAGGGTGAATTCACCACTCTGCGAACCTGTGATGAGGCGCCTTCCACTAGGAGTCCACTTTAAACAGGAACAACAAATGTGTTAACTTAGAATTAGCGATGAAGTAACGAAGAGGAAAAATGAGAAGCATCCAAGAACATCAAAAAATACACCGGTGATGAGCTGCGTACAGGCATATATTAAAATACTATTGTACAAAATACTAATGCGTAAAGGCATATATTAAAATACTGTTGCATTTACATGGAATTGTCCAAGTCCTTTTAATTATTATTGTCCAAAACACTCTCATCTCAATAATCTAACCAATCAAAAAAACTTGTAACTGTATTTTACCCATTTATCGTCTTAAATTATTCTTTATTGCCTTCAACCTTTGAATTACAAATTCTTGCACATAAAATATGGGCAAGAATTATTTACATATATATCAGAGAGAGGCACGAGGATTACAATCAAAAACTGTCTCACAACCAATGAAATTGAACCAGAAAGCTCCTCAAATCAATGTGCATTAAAGACCATTTCCCGAAACCAAAACCACCTTTCAATTTGATTACAATTTATAAACTCAGAAATCAAAATTTCATTTCCATCAGAAGTTTATTTACAACCCGGTTAAAGGTGCTCGCAAAGAAGTATGTGTTTATTTCCAAGCATTTTCATAACAAAGCACAACAAAACAGCATTGATAGTGATGGATAATTTGTTAGAGCTCTGAGTTTCTTCGCAATACCACTTAAGAGACTGGAAAAAAAGATCAAATTATTCTCAAATATAAGAATTGAAACAAAATCGGAAGGAAGATAGAAAAACAACACAAAGAAACTCGGTCTTCCTAGCCATGCTACTTAGGAAATAGAAGTTCCCAAATCTATAGCCTGCATTGGAGACAATAAAGTAGACCAAGATCCTCAATTAGTTCGATCGAAAAAATAATCCCAGAAGACATTTTGACATATGAGGAAACTCAGAACATCATCCACCTCCTCAGCTGCAATTTACTGAAAACCTCACAGCAAGCTTCCCTGTACACATACTCTCCATTGCCACTAAAGAATTACTACCATATTACCTAGTTCTTGTTTCCCAAAGTTATTCCAACCTTCACCCTCTCTGGAACTCAGTCACTTTTTTGTTCCCAAGAAGGTAAGTAATTTGATTCATCAACTTCTTTCATTTAATATCAATTATTTTGCTATGACGGGTGTACTTCACAGCAAAGTAATAACAATAATAATCTCGCAAACAAAAGAAACTTGTTGAAATAACTCATCATGCTTTCATGAGCTCATAATTACAGAGTAAACACAAGTAGAAAGATAACCTTAAGGGAGCCCTTTTACTTACCACAACGCGATTGATAGAGCACCGATTTTTGTTTAGGGAAGTGTGTACAAACTTTGAAGCAAAGCTTGTAGATGGATTATCTGAATAAGCAGTAGTCGGCAACATCTGCAACCACGGTAAGATGATCTATCAAGCAGCATGTCAAAAAATCAACAGAATCGTTAACCAAAAAAATAATATTTAACAAAAAAAAATCAACAGAGGCCAGATAGAATGAACTTGTCCACCATGGAAAATACATTTAAACAATTCAATGAGTAATCCCATCAATGACCACTGAACTCTTAACATTTTTGGAGAAAAAGAGTAAAAATAAAACAAAAACGGACCATCAGCATTTCAACTGAGTCAATCGTAGAAATTAAAGTAAAAGGAAAATTAAAATTATCAATTGGAAGAGTAAACTAACATCAACAACTGCAGCTGACGTTGGTTGTAAGACAGTCCTGTCACGTGAATCCCGTTGCCACATACGAATCTGCATGAAACCAGTATCATCTGAAGTTTATTACTTATTTACATAATGCAGGAGGTTAAAGAAGATGATGTCTAACACCTCAAAACAAACTTAGCTATTTAATCCAACACGAAAATCTGTATATTGCTATGTACTTCAAGTATAAACTTTACATCATATAAATCAACTACAATCATGCTCAGGAGCTAGGGGTGTGCACGGTCCGGGTGGTCCGGTTTTTAGCCTGAACTGTGAACCAAACCATTAGAACGGTTTGGAAAATTTTGAATCCGAAACCAAACCGTTTGCATTTTAAAACGGGACCAAACCAATCCGTAATTATCGGTCCGGTTTCTACGGTTTCGCGGTTTTTATTTGACTTTGGGATTTTTAATTTTTTTTTTGGCCAAAACTTGGACCATTTTTTTTTTTTTTACAAAAAAATAGATTTTTTTTCTTAATTTGTAACAAAAACAATATGGTCTTTTATTACCAATATAATTCAACACCATGCAAATCTCTAATTAAAAATAAACAACATCCGAAATGTTAGAGGGAAAAAGGGAAAAAAAAGATGGAATAAAAGGTGGGTGATGAGAATCGAACTTGGGAACTATAACTAAACGTGGGTAAATGGACAAGAGTTAACCATTTCAGCCCATTGAACTTTTGATTACTCATAAACATTTAAAAGTATAATACTACACTTATAATATTTATATATAAATATAAATAGAAAAATGTATATAATAATATAAACGGTCCGGTTTGGTTTGAATGACGGTTTTTGAATGCCAAACCGTAAACCGGACCGTTCCTACCGGTTTTTAAATTTTGAATCCGCCGGTTTCGAAATAAAACTATAAAACCGATTCAAAAACCAAACCGCGGTTTGGTTTGACCGGTTTGAAACAATCCATGCACACCCCTATCAAGAGCACAAGGACCACTATTTATCATACCATGCTGGAATCAATAAACACCCATACCATCTATAAGAGGTGGTAGATGATTGTGCCAAACTCAAGATCATTTAAAATGAGCTTGATAGTAACGGTAGAGTTCGAGTTGAGCAAAAGACATCTTTCAGTTCCAGTAACTGTGTTTTCTAAAAAGCAGTTGTTTATCTAGCAGCTGTGCATAATTACCTATATATATTATATATCTATATTATTAGTGCAGACAGAGGAGGGTATATACTTTAGATCTCACACAGCACAAGATTTATTAGACTTAGCAAAACAGAGAAGGGAAACATATCAATCAAAGCATTCTTTCATACAAGGGTTCCACATAATATATCACTGCCTGCACCAACATTTATCGAAAATTGCAGCTCATACAATTTACTTTGGAAAAACCATGCCAAACTTATTATTTGAAATTTGAATTTGTAAACTATCAAATTCAGAAATTTTAAAGCCAAGATTACTGTAGAGCAACTATCTTTTCAACCTGAACTGCAGTTTCATGATCCAGGAAGCCTTCTTTAAATTTAATCCTACTTCATAACAAAGAGAATAGCACACTTGCAAAATTTGACATGGTAGAATCCCAAAAAAATCAAACTGAAGAAGAAATGACTCAGCTGTGGACATAACTCAACAACTGGAAATCTGGGGGGTGTTCTCTGGAAGTAGGTAAGTGTTAGTTCCTAGCATCCTACAGACAAAAGAAAGAAAATTAACCTGCGTATACCGTACAACAGTGCTTGTATAGTCTACAGCTTTCCTTTGCCCAATCTTTCTCATTCTTTTTGCGGCAAAATTATCAGCATGAGCTGCACAAAATGAAAAAAACCAAATTGAAGGCTACAAGGTAGGAAGCATCCGAATTTCCTATCATAAAGAAAGTAAACTACGCACGAAAAATTACAGACGGCAGAACTAAAACACTGCAGTCAATTTTCAAGAGTATGAAAATGCTGCATAGACTCACTTTCGAGAGTTAATATCCCCTAAATGAACTGTAGAAACAAAGCTTCCCAACAGTAAATCTGGAATGCAAAACTTATGAACAGCAGAGTTTGAATGAAACTCTCTTGGTTGCAGCATTTAATTATTCAAAAAAAAAACATCAATAGTCAAACTTCTGCTTTCAAGAACCCGGATTTGCTCCATATCATATAGTGCATACGAAATCAACATTTCAGCCTTGGTATCCTCTTTAACTTGCCTTTCTCATGCTTTTCCAACCAATTACCAGCAATCCAACATCATCACTATTTCTCCTCTCCAGCTTATAGTAATATATTATTCATTAAGCCCCTACTGAAGCCCTGAATAGAGTTTGAGCCTGGCAAAGATGAGACAACGCTGACACCCATCAGCCCAAGTGTCTCGATTACCGGAAAAATCTTAAACCTTCTCATTCATGCATCTCGCAGGTGTGAGAGAAACTATTGGTGTTATTTAAGAGAAAGCTATGAGATGACAAGGATAAATGGTCAAATTTTGAAAATAAAGACATTGCTGATACCAAAATCATAAGCTAACCTAGGAACATTGGCCTAAAATCTGATCCCAAAAACTTTTTAAGCACCTGAATACCTGAAATGGAGCTTCTTATCAAAACCTTCCAGATACCTTTCAGGAAAACTGCATACCATAACTTCATCTCCTACAGTTTATGAGTGCATATTCGTTTTGTCGTTGTCGTTATTAGACAAGTTCTTTAAAAGAATACACCATGAATGCCAAAATATTTCGATGAAAGCTATTGCTTCACTAACAAGCATTAAGAAGTAATGGAATCAATATTAGGCATGCCAGGATAGACTCCAACTGTGAAACCTACTGGAAGGTGGGTTAAATTAATAGACTTTGCTAACACATAAGCAAATTGAATACATAAGTACAAAGTGATGACATCCTACACATATGTGGCAAGCATTGCACAGTTTCCACTACTTTCTAACTCAGCCTATCATGATATAATCGTTTCTAGCTGCCTATACAACATAAGGCACATGAAAATTTCACACCTCCAGTTTCCAAGGGCATAAACCATGTATTACTCTCTTAGAAGGATAAGTGAAAGAATATAATAAACTAAAAACTAGTCATAGTTCCATCAGAATTATCCATGGCCGCAATAAAATCTTCTATATACGTTCATTTTATGGATATGAAATGAGACGACTAGAAAGAAGATTAAATAGCCATCTATGGAAGATAACAGTGGACTATTAAATATATAAAGTAGCAGGTTTTCCAAATTTTACATGCATTTTTTGGTCAGAGAATAAAATATCTAATTAACACAACCGCACAAGGGTCACGGTGTTATTCAATTGCTAGTCAAACTGAGTAAGCTCAACCACAAAATTACATCATGCTGGCTTTGTCCAGCTGGGCCATTAGTTATCCTCAATGTACTCCAACATTTTCATTAAACTAAGATCTTATTGGCCCTTAGCAAGGGCTCCAAATCAGTAACACAGTGCAAGAAAAATTAACCCCAAAAAAAATATATATATATGTACGGGTTATGCTATTCAAAACCCAGAGCTTAAAACCTCGAAGATTAAATCATTTTTCCCAAAATTAAAACACTTACACTCAAAAGAGGGATGAGGGTGGAGATTAGGAGGCTGCTGCGGATGATGATATTCGGGCATAGGTGGCTGAGAATTGAGAGTGGTGGACGAAGCTGAGAGCTGCCGCATCATTGGTGGCGGACCAGGAAGCTGTGGCGGACCCCTCGGAAAATCGCCACCCTGTGGATGGTGGGGCCTGTGTGGGTACGGCTGCTGGAGTTGATGCATCGGTGTTGGACCGGGAGGCAATGGCGGCCCAGGAGGATAGTGCTGGTGCTGCTTATGCTGGTGCTGGTTCTGGTGAGGATCTCCTCCATACATTTTCTGTAAACTATAATGGCGAACGAAAATCCCAGTTAGGGGGAGGAAGCTGGAGAATTGAATGGGGGCGTATGGTTAGGGTTTAATACGTACGTTTGAAATTACACAATCACCAAAATATAAAAAAGAAGAAAGAAAAACTATTTCTCGAGTGCTCTCCTTCATTCAGACAATTAATCAAACATATAAACAGCGTGGAGACCATAAAACTTTGTAATACCTTTGCGCGAAACTGAGAAAAGATTGGAAGCTTTGTCCGTTTTCCGTAATTTGCGATATGAATCCAATACTGGTGTTTTCTGCAGCTATATAGAAGCACTTTGTTCTTTCTCACTTTTGCTCACAGTTTAGGAGATATTTATGTCATATAGACCGTTTGTCGCGAGAGAAGGGAAAAAATCGTTTGGGACGAGTTTTGGGCCGGGTCGGGTCGGGGGGCAAGCGCCCCCCCCATTACCGGAACGGCCCCCGTCCCCCGAAATATCATCGGGAGGACAACGGGCACATTCCGTGCAAAACGGGTCCGGGTCACGGGGGCGGGTGCCCCCGGCGCCCCCCGGCCCCCGACGTAACATCGGGGGCCAAGGGACTAAGAAGGCGAGGAACTAGCCAAGGCACGGCCGGATATGATATCCTAGGAGGGTTCAATTGATTGGAATAGATAGTGATGGGTCGAAATGTAATTAGTAGAAGTTGAGACAAAGTATGCATGGTCACTATTGTAGTATAGAGGTGTTCGTGATTTGGATCAAACCGGTAGAACCGCTCAAACTCGTCATCGATTCAGATTGACGAGCGGTTTATAATTGAATTTTTAAACTGGTGGATTTGAAAATTAAAGACCGTTTATAACGATCCGAATTACGGTTTAGCGCTGAAAAACCGTATGTCAAACAAAACATGACCGTATATATGTATTAAAGAATAATAATATTAGCTTACTTATATATTAGGTTTTTTTTGTCGCGCGTTACATGACTTGTTTTTATATTAATTATAAGTTTAAAACAAATGGTAATTTAAAAAATGCCACAAAAGTTTTATATAAAAATAATTGTGTAACAAAGCTCAATTAATAGGGTAAATAATTTGGTATCTTTAGCGACATCATTGGTTAAATTAAATAAACTTCTTGTTGGTAGAATATTCTGCGACTATACTTTCTTGAGTTTCATTTACAATTTGGGTAATTTGCTGTGAATAGTAAATAAATAAATAGTAACTACCCTTGATTACAAAAACCATAGTAAATAAACTTGAATCTTATAATAATGATGATAGTCATTTGTAATATTGTCTAAAAAGGATGTCAAAAAATTATTCTACCATGCCTATGGGGGTATCGTTTGTGTTTTGAAAACCAGTGTCGTATCATCATTGGTAATCTCCAAACTGAGCTCGAAAGATATCTTCTCGCCCAATTGTATTTGGTTTTTTTTGTTGAAATTCTTGCCAATCGCCATATATGTAAACGGGTTTTTTTTGTAAGAAATATTGTTATCATCGCCATACTTCAAGGTCATATTTGTATATTCGCCGTTGTAGCACAATTTCACGTTCGTCTTGTTTTCTTTGTTTCGTTGCAGCATGATGTGCATCAGAATAGGCTGAAACACAATGAGGAGATTACATATGATTGAAGAATATGAATATATATATATATATATATACACATGTATGTATATAGAAGGGAATCCCCTATTTGTTGCACAGTTAAAGGGGGGTTTCCGGTCAAAATTGCTGATGTGGCAATTCGGTGTTGGACCGCTTGTTTTTTTTAGATTTCGTCGGTCTTTGATAGCAATCCGTGACAAAACCAATCTTAATGAAAGATCAACTTTGCTAAATCGGAAAGACGGAGATTTGTAGGCAGCGGATTTGGAGAATTCGGATGTAATGACACAAAAACACACGAAAAACAAATAAAAGAAAAGATATTTGATCTCACGTGGATCAATTCATGAGTTCAATGGTAGAACAACCCAAATCAAGAATGAAGAGAGTTATTTCTAACCAAACAGAGACCCCTTGGAAAATTGTGTAGGAAAACCCAATAGATATGAGATCTATGAGCTTAACAACCAAAATACGAAAAATCCAATGCTAAAGACGCCACTATCAAGTGAACTAAACAAGATAGATAAGTCTAATAATTGCACAACACATATGCAACAACTAAACAAAGAAGTCCTCAGAAAAACTCCACGAAAGGAATAAAATCCTAACCAATTTGATTTCACTCAAAAAATATCAATGACACAATGTGTGTTGGACAAGAGAAATTCGGTCCCTATTTATAGAGGGGGTGGCCGAATTTTCTTCCCAAGAAGTAGAGGAAGAATACAACTCTTCACCTCTATTCCTATCTCTAAGAATTTGAAATCAAATCAAACTCTAAAGACTCCTAATTATCTTAAGTGATAAGATAACGAACCTAGACACTTTTACTAGTCTTAAGACATTTAAGACTATGTAAGAATTAATTAAAACTCAAAGTACAAAGACATAATCTCATAGAAAGATTCCTATGGATAGAATCTCCCATCCATCTTGATTTAGTCTTCATCCAACGGTTGAGTAGACATCAATAAGTTGACTCCTTATTGTAGGAAAACTCGAAAAGCAAAGATAAAAAGGAATCATCCTAAATATTATCCTTTAAAGAGATAAAGTCTTATCTTTCAAAGAGATAAAATTTGAATGATCTCACCCCTAAACTTTAGGGATCCATTCGACCTCCATAGGGAGTGTGGCCAGCGGTCTCTCCTTGGATTGAGGGCCAAAATTCCTTCTCTCCAAATGGGCCAAGTCCATTTGGTGTCACTTGCAATAAATTAATAGTCTTAGGCTTGTGATCTTCAAGCTTAATTTCTTCCTTAGCCCATGTAGTAGTAATTAGACTATTAAGTGATTCATCCATCCTCTTGCATCTAGCACGAGTCATTGGTCCAATAATGTTTGAGAGTGGATCACGGATGTAAGGATTATTATTTAAAGCAGCATCTTTAGATCCTCCATTAGCATTCACGACCTCAACTTGCTCAACCTCTCCATTATTGGCAATAACACGTCCTTCTCCATTAGTGTTAGCGCAATGACCTCCATCATCCTCCCCTTCTTTAAGCGAATTCGTCCTCGAATTCAAACCTTCATCAAAATCAAAAGAAGATAGGTCACATTGAATGTAGCACTAACACCATACTCACCTGGTAGCGCGAGTTTATAAGCATTGTCGTTAACTCTTGACACTACTTGAAAATTTCCATCTCCGCGAGGATGTAACTTCGATTTCCTAGAGTTTGGAAACCTCTCTTTTCTCATATGTACCCAAACCCAATCACCTGGTTCAAATACAACTTGTTTACGACCACAATTTGCCGACTTTACATATTGTTGAGTCCTACGCTCAATATTGAGGCAAACTTTCTCATGAAGTCTTTTAATTGTCTCAGCTTTCTTAACTCCATCCAAACTAAGTTGATCCTTCAAAGGTAAAGGTGATAAATCTAAAGGAGTTTATGGATTAAAACCATAGACAATTTCAAAAAGTGAAAACTGAGTAGAAGAGTGAACAGTTCTATTATAAGCAAATTCAACAATAGGTAAACATTCTTCCCATTTCATCAAATTACTCTTGATGATCGCTCTTATGACAGCTCCTAAAGTACGATTCGTCACTTTAGTTTGACCATCAGTTTGTGGATGACTAGTTGTGCTAAATAACAACTTAGTACCCAACTTTCCCCACAATGATTTCCAAAAGCAGCTAAGGAACTTAACGTCCCTCTCACTAACAATTGTTCTTGGAACACCATGAACTCTTACTATTTCTTTCAGAAACAACTCCGCAACGAGACGTGCATCATCTGTTTTTCTGCAAGCAATGAAATGCGACATTTTAGAAAATCTATCCACAACTACAAAGATAGAATCCATACCTCTTTGAGTTCTAGGTAAACCCAATATAAAGTTCATAGATATGTCCATCCAAGGTTATGTAGGGATAGACAATGGTGTGTAAAGTCCATGAGGAAGCGATTTAGACTTCGTTTGTTTACACTCCACACATTGATTGATGGTAGTCTGAACGTCAGACTTCATCTTGGGCCAAAAGAAATGCTCTTAGAGCACATCCAAAGTCTTAGGCAGACCAAAATGTCCCATTAAACCTCCACTATGCGCCTCGCGTATCAGAAGTTCTCGAAGTGAACACTTAGGCACACAAAGTCGATTTTCTTGAGATAGATAACCATCATGTCTATAAAACTTTTCAAAAGCACTTTGCTCACAAGCAGTAAAAATATTAGCAAAATCAGTATCTTCACAATATAGATCTTTAATAAACTCAAATCCCATCAATTTTGCATCTAAAGAAGTTAACAAAGTGTAACGTCTAGATAAAGCATCGGCAAAAACATTGTCTTTTCCCTTTTTATACTTGATAACATAATGAAATGTTTCAATGAATGCAACCCACTTAGCATGTCTTTTACTTAGACGGTTTTACGATTTAAGATGCTTTAGAGATTCATGATCAGTATGAATTATAAACTCCCTAGCCAACAAATAATGTTGGCAATTCTCTAATGCACGAACCACATCATAGAATTCCTTGTCATAAATAGGATAATTAAGACAAGCTCCATTTAACTTTTCACTAAAGAAAGCTATAGTACGTTTATCTTGCATTAAAATAGTACCAATACCAATACCAGAAGCATCACATTTTAACTCAAATGTTTTGTTAAAATCAGGCAATGCTAAAACAGGGATACTAGAAAGGTCTCATTTTAAGTCATTAAAAGCTTTCTCTTGGGCTGGTCCCCAAACAAATTTAACTTCCTTTTTAACAACTCATTTAAAGGGGCAGCTTTAGTTGAAAAATCTTTAACAAACCTTCTATAAAAACTAGCCAAACCATAAAAAGATCTCACTTGTGTCACATTGGTTGGTGTAGGCCAATCCTTAATAGCTTTTATTTTAGATTCATCAACATGAAT